ATTTATGTAAGTGAGGATAGCAAAATAAAGTAAACTGTGACAAATTATACCCAACATTTCTTCATACAGTGGACTACCAGTAAAACTGATACAAATTTTTGACCAAAAATTATTCAGACCGAGTCTGGGGGGAAAAAAAATTTAAGTTCAGGTTTGCATGAAGCTGGGTGACAGCATGCCCAGGAGACTACAGGCTGTCATTAAGGTGAAGGGTTGCCCAACTAAGTATTGATAGTTGTGTAAATACTGTCATACTAACAGCTGTCTAATTTTTGATTGATTGTAATCCATTACATACCTTTCTATCAAAGTTATCTAACATTATCACGCTGAATTTGTTTTGACTCCGTTTAACTTTGAGTTCTTGTTATATTTTATTACCATTTTCTAAACTATAGTGAATAAACTGTGATAATGTGAGAAATGTTGAAGGTGTCTGAATAAATTTAGGTTTGACTATCTATTTAATAAATAAAGTTAACCAACTAACATTATACATACTCTTTTGGTTTTTGTACCCAATATTTAAAAAATTTACAAATGCAATAAAAATATTGGTCTCGGTATCGGCAAGTACCAAAAATAAAAGTATCGGTATCGGGCGAATACTGGAAAAAGTGGTATCGGTGCGTCCCTAATTACAGAGTTTTCTGCTTCTTTTTCTCCAGTTCACGAAAGTTCAACATCCTTGGCACCAACACGAAGGTGATGAACATGGAGGAATCCAACAATGGCAGCCTGTCAGCAGAGTTCAAACATCTGGTAAGTTCAGCCATTACGGCAACCCCTCTTTTTTTTCAGAGTGCAGAACCATATGATTTCTGAATTTGTGAGTTGCATGGGGCACTGTTGGCCATCTGAAGCAAAATTAAACTTCCTAAAAAAAAAAAATTTTTTAACTTGTGTTTATTGTGTGTACTAACACTGTCCAGCATTGAATATATTTAATCTTAAACATGTTCTTCAGTGTTACTGAAACAACTTTATTAGAGGCAAAAATTATGGTTTACTGAGGCCATCATGTGTGTAAAAACTGATCATGAATAAATAATTTTCACTCACTAGATGATTTGAATAATTTATTTATATTAGTGATTAATTGATTAATCACAATTAATCGCATCCAAAATCAAAGTTTGTGTTTACATAATATATGTGTGTGTGTGTGTACTGTGTATATTTATATGTATATATAAATACACACACGTACATGTGTATATATATTTAACAAATATTTACATGTATACATATAAATATCTTACAAATATGAATATATTATACATAAATATAAATATATATTACATAACTTGACAGATGTCCAGAAGACAGTCATTGACACACATTGGAGGGTAAGCCACAAAAGTTAATTGCTAAAGAAGCTGGTTGTTCACAGAGTGCTGTATCCAAGCATATTCATAGAAAGTTGAGTGGAAGGAAAAAGTGTGGTAGGAAAAGGTGCACCAGCAAAAGGGATAACCACAGCCTTGAGAGGATTGTCAGGCAAAATCCATTCAAGAATTTGGGGGAGCTTCACAAGGAGTGGACTGAGGCTGGCGTCAGCGCATCAAGAGCCACTACGCACAGACGAATCCTAGACATGGGCTACAAATGTCACATTCCTCGTGTCAAGCCACTCCTGAACCAGAGACAACGTCAGAAGCGTCTTACCTGGGCTGTGGATAAAAATAACTGGACTGTTGCTCAGTGGTCCAAAGTCCTCTTTTCAGATGAAAATAATTCAGATGAAAATAAAGATAAATAAAATTCAGATAAATTTTGCATTTCATTTGGAAATCAAGGTCCCAGAGTCTGGAGGAAGAGTGGAGAGGCACAGAAACCAGGTTGCTTGAAGTCCAGTGTGAAGTTTCCACAGTCAGTGATGATTTGGGCTGCCATGTCATCTGCTGGTGTTGGTCCACTGTGTTTTCTGAAGTCCACAGTCAACGCAGCCATCTACCAGGAAATTTTAGAGCACTTCATGCTTCTTTCTGATGACAAGCTTTATGGAGATGCTGATTTCATTTTCCAGCAGGATTTGGCACCTACCCACACTGCCAAAGGTACCAATAGCTGGTTCAATGACCATGGTGCTACTGTGCTTGATTGGCCAGCAAACTCGCCTGACCTGAACCCCATAGAGAATTTATGGGGTTTTGTCAAGAGGAAGATGAGAAACACCAGACCCAACAATGCAGATGACCTGAAGGCTGCTATCAAAGCAACCTGGGCTTCCATACCACCTCAGCAGTGCCACAGGCTGATTGCCTCCATGCCACGCTGCACTGATGCAGTAATTAATGCGAAAGGAGGCCCAAGCAAGTATTGAGTGCATAGAAATGAACATACTTTTCAGAAGCCTGACATATCTGTTTAAAATATCCTTTTTTTTATTGATCTTATGTAATATTCTAATTTTCTGAGACACTGAATTTTGGGTTTTCATTATCTGTAAACCATAATCATCAAAATTTCAAGAAATAAAGGCTTGAAATATTTCACTCTGTGTAATGAATCTGGGTTTCACTTTCTGAAATGAGTGACAAAAAATATTGTATTGAAAATACCTTATTCATGATATTCAAATTTTTTGAGATGTACCCCTGGGACTTAAAGTGCCTGAAGTTGAAGAATCACATTTACATTTTTACAATAAATGACTTACTACCGTATTTCCTTTATTTTATTAATTTAAAAAACAATTGAATTTACCCTACAAGCTTCAGGAAGACTACTGTAGCTCAAGCTGTTGACTGACTGACTTGTTCTTCTGTTTTTCAGACTCTTCGAGAGCAGAGATGTGGCAATGGAGGCCGAACCAACAGTGATGCAAGTCTTTGTATAATTAGCATTATGCCACCGTTTTTTTTTATTCTGGGCTTCTAGTGAAGAAGTCAGTGTAAGCATTGACCTTTGCCCTCTGAACTACAGGCGTCTCTGATAGTGACCGAAGAACTGCACCTGATCACATTTGAGACAGAAGTCTACCACCAAGGACTAAAGATCGACCTTGAGGTGATAAAATCTGCAGACATAAATAACGCTCACTGGATGTTTAAAAGATTAGTTCATTTAAAAGACGCTTTCATTTTTATCAGTATTTTAGAATAAAATAAAATGTCAGACATGTCTTATCATGACAGGATTCCTGTCACTAAGGCGCTGTCCTGTTGGGCTGTTTATCAAATCAAAGATGATAATATTATTAAACTCTGAGAACTGGTTAAGTCCATCACACTGCTGCTATTGATTGATTCAACGTACTGAAAGCCAATAAGGTCATTGTGATAGGCTGTCGTCATGGTACCAGCAGTAGGAGGATATGAATATTTAACCAGGCAGCGTGTCCTTGGATAATCTGCCACCTATTATACACAGTGCTGCCTACATGCCTATTATGTGCTGATAAGAGTACATGCAAAATCATTCATTTTCTGTGGATGGACACAACAGGGTCACATAAAATACCAACACACACAGCAGGTTAATTAAACGAGATAATTAAGCCATTCGGCTCTGTTTGCTTGAGAATTATTCAGCCTCAGGTCTCTATTTGAAGATTTCCGACTGAGCAAGATGTACAAAAATAGCAGGATTTGTTCTTCTCAATTATATCTAAAGGTTTTTATCTCTGTGCAGACACATTCTCTCCCAGTGGTGGTCATCTCTAATATCTGTCAAATGCCAAATGCATGGGCGTCCATCCTGTGGTACAACATGCTGACCAACCATCCCAAGGTTTGAAATGAATCCACAGCAAGCCATACTTACTGTTAGCACAACAACTTATATAAGTTCCTAAGAATTCTTCCTCTCTATCCTCACAGAATGTGAATTTCTTCACCAAACCTCCAGTAGGAACGTGGGATCAGGTAGCTGAGGTGGTCAGCTGGCAGTTTTCATCCACAACCAAGAGAGGACTTACCATTGAGCAGCTCACCACACTTGCAGAGAAACTTCTGGGTATGTGCGTGTTTGTGTGTTATAATATTCAGTGGAGTTCAAAAGTATTAAATATCTGGGATTTTTTTCAAACTTAATTTAAACCTGGAAATAAACAATAAATAAATAAGTTGGAAGATGCTGTTTGAAAATAGAAGCAATTTTAGATCTGTTCAGTGGTTTGTCATGTTAATCACATGATTTATTTGACTTTGATAAGCTTACATTTTAAATGGCTGAATTTAGCCTCTGATTATACAATATCTTTTAAAAGTTAGGGTCAACAAGATTTGACTGATTTTATTTGATTAAAAATTCATTAAAATAGCAATATTGTGAAATATAACCACAATTTAAAATAGCTGTTTTCTGTTTAAATATATTTTAAAATATAATTTATTCCTGTCATGGCAAAGCTGAATTTTCAGCATTACTCCAGTCTTCAGTGTCACATGATCCTTCAGAAATCACTCTAATATACTGATTTGCTGCTCAAGAAACATTTCTTATTATTATCAATGTTAGAAACCATTGTGCTGCTTAATAGCAACATACATTTTCTTTACTGGCACTTTTAATCATTTGCACCCTTGCAACATTCTTCGTGCATCTGTTTAATTGTGCATTTCTGTTTTGTGTAGGTCCTTGTGTAAACTACTCTGGTTGCCAGATAACATGGGCCAAGTTCTGCAAAGTATGTTGCTATAACAAACTTTTGTTCCTTATTCTGTGTTAAGTTTAGAGCAAGTTTCTATGAGAGTATCCTAAACATGTTTGTGTGTTGCAGGAGAACATGGCAGGAAAAGGTTTCTCATTCTGGGTGTGGCTAGACAACATTATCGACCTAGTGAAGAAATATATTTTGGCTCTATGGAATGAAGGGTGAGAACTCCTGCTGCACTCTGTTGTGTGCATTCATGCAGTATTCATAGTTCATTACATCAATCACTGCTTGGCTGGTTATATCAAGCTTTTGTGTATATGTGTGTGTGTCAGATATATTATGGGCTTCATCAGTAAAGAAAGAGAGAGGGCAATCCTGAGCCCAAAGCCTCCTGGGACATTCCTGCTGCGCTTCAGTGAAAGCAGCAAAGAGGGAGGCATTACCTTCACCTGGGTTGAGAAGGACATCAATGGTGAATGCATTTCCATGTACATGATATTGTTTGTGTTGGCATTAGACTTCTCAAAATGATCAGTACATTGGTACCATAGTAAAAAAAAAACATGTTTTATTTACAAATTTTATACTACTTGTGGTGTACTGAAATGCCGTGTCTTGATGACCGTAGTTTGAATATGTGAAGCATTTGTGCTCCTGTATGTATGTGCAGGTAAGACCCAGATCCAGTCGGTTGAACCGTACACTAAGCAGCAGCTCAACAGCATGTCTTTCGCCGAGATCATTATGGGCTACAAGATCATGGATGCCACCAACATCCTGGTCTCGCCGCTGGTCTACCTCTACCCTGATATCCCCAAAGAGGAGGCGTTTGGCAAGTACTGCCGCCCTGAGGCCCATCCTGATACCGAATTCCCTGATCCTGGATGTGGTGAGTGTCTTAGCGGGAATAGAATTCATTCTGGCTTGGAATAACAGTACATCTGTCTGTTGCTTGGCAAAGTTTGTTTAGTTTCAAATGATTTATTTTGGAGACCACTATTTTAGTATTGGAAGTGCACTGAATGGGTGTGGTTTACCAGAAACCTTTAGCTTCTGAGGAAATTGTCTAAGAATAACAGAAGAGAGAATGCAAAAGCATGACTTTAATCTTTGGTTAGACACATTAGAGCAGGGGTGTCCAAACTCGGTCCTGGAGGGCCGGTGTCCTGCAGAGTTTAGCTCCAGCTTGCCTCAACACACCTGCCGGGAAGTTTCTAGTATGCCTACTAAGAGCTTGATTAGCTGGTTCAGGTGTGTTTGATTAGGGTTGGAGCTAAACTCTGCAGGACACCGGCCCTCCAGGACCAAGTTTGGGCACCCCTGCATTAGAGTTAATCAAATTTGGGGTCAGTAAGATTTGTATTAATTTATTTATTTTTAACAAATGAATGTTTTTATTCAGCAAGGACATTAAATTGATAAAGTAACAGTAAAGAGTTTTTTGTTAAAAAACGTGTTTCAAATAAATGCTGTTCTTTTCAACTTTTTATTCAAAAATATTACAATTCCACAAAAGCTTCAAGCAACACAACTCTTTTCCACATAGATAACATTGATAATAAAAAGAAAAGTTTCTTGAGCACCAAATCAGCATATTAGAATGATTTCTGAAAGATCATGTGACACTTTAGAAGAATTGAAATGTATCACAAGAGTCACATTGACTACTTCATTTTATTTATTTATGGGGGAAAAAATCATACAGGTTTGAATGTTCATTTTTGTGTGAACTGTTCCTCTAAGAAAAGGAAACCGATTGCTTTTTAATGACAAAAGCTCACTGAAGACCTGAAAAATATTAATTCTCCCTGTTTAATAACACTTCATTTGTTGTTCTTTCAACACACACATACATGCACATTTATACAAATATGCACACATATTTATAATTTCATTCTGTAATTCACTGATCTGTTGTGTTGTCATGTAAGGTTGACATATGATGGAAAATTATGTTTCTTCATAACTACTTTTTTTAAATGTCTGTCAGTCTAATATTGTTTCCCACTCTGTATATCTGTCCTTCCACTCTCACTTAATAGTGTGTATACTATTATATATACACTGCACTATGTATATTCTCTTTATTGTACAATTAATTCTTGTCGCGCAACAGTTGTCAGCCTTTTGTATCCTTTATGCATTTCTTCTGTTATCTGGGATATACACTACCATTCAAAAATCATTTTTTTAAAAGAAATTAAATCTTTTAGCCAGCAAAGACACATTCAATTGATTAAAGCATCAGTAAAGACATTTATGTTACACTTTTTTTTATTTCAAATAATGTTTTGCATGAAAATAGAAAAAAGGCGGCACACCTGGGGCCCGTTCTTCGTACGTGGCTAACTCAGTTAGCTGGATTTGATTGTTGACGATTTGGCATGATCTTGGATTGGTTGGTTCTTTGAAGCTCATCCCGGAGTTGCTGTCATAGCAACAGGTCCG